CGGGACGCGCTGGGAGTTACCCGGGAAAGAGACGGGGCGCGTTGGGCGCGCAAGTGGAAGTAACGCGGGCGAAGTCCGAGAACGAGCGGGCATAGGAGTAAGGGACGGCGACAAGCACACGCGCGAGGAGTTTGGACGGGAAGAGAGGCGCGCGATGGCGCGCGAGTGGACCGCAAGCGCAGGGACATGCCTAAGCGCGATAGGCGAAAGCGAAGGTGGGCTGGCACGCACGCGCAAAGGGAAAGACGGTGGACGCTGGGCACGCACGACAGCACACGCGTGCAGCACAAGCAGCGCATAGCCTAGGGCGCCAAGGACTAGGCGAGCGCGGGCAGCGCGCATGAGGTGGCCGAGAATCCTAGTCGTGCGCATGACCTAAGCTTCTAGAAATTCTTGGAGTGCAAGACAAGTCTTTAGTAGTTATAGTAATAGTAGAATTATATTACCATGTTGCTTTTCATTCTAGAATTAGGAGATCTAGTATAGTTAGGCTTAGATTTATTTTATGCATCTATAAATACTCATGTACCTCTTCATTATTAGGATGTCCAGAAAATTGTTGAGTGAATAGAAAAGGAGAACTTGGTGTTATAACGTGTGTTAAGCAAGGCCGTAGTGCGTGTTTACATACAAGTGTCGGAGAGAAGGCCATTAGTGCGTCTTGAAGTCACACGTGTCTAAGAGAAGGTTGTAGTGCGTCTGTTAGTCACATCTATCGTGTGTAGTCGAAGGCCCCGAGTACGCGATTACATACAACCGAAATAGTCAACAACCGCGATCAACACTCCGATCACTCATCACGCGTGCTGCCTGCGCGCGTGATGAAGGATCGTGTGTTTGGTTCCACTCATCTTGTCTCGAACACAGCTTCGCCACTGCCTTGCTCTCGATGATAGTTGTGATCGACTCGGTTATTAGCCTAATTCTCTCACGATACTTGAGTTCACTCGGGTCTTAGCCTTGCTCACTCGATTTTGAACTGGCTCGGGTCTTAGCCTCACCAATTCAATTTGTATGATCGAACTCTCACGAATCCTAACACATGGTTTCGAACAAACGTTCTTTTCTATTTCATCAATTCCAAGACTTCTCAAAACAATGAGGGATGCTCCCTATTTATAGATCCTAACTGTGACTAATTCTAATCTACCTAGGAAACTTACTAAAGCAATAAAATATTAAATTTCTAAACAATCTAGATATTATTGTGCAAGAAGGAAACTAAATATACTAGAGTCGTAATTAACTTGATCTTCAAATCTCTTCCTTTGCTTGCACTCCAAGTCGGCCAACTTCACGCCAACCGCCTCATGCGTGCGCGCTGCCCATCGGCGCTAGTCCTTGTCGCGCGCGGACTTGCGCACTTCGCCCGTTTCGCACGCGCGCGCCTTCGTGCGCCCCAAGCATGCGCCGCCCTCGCCCTGCGCGTGCACCTCGCTATTCGGTACTCCTAAGCCCGCAAGGCTTAGGCCTTGCGCATTTGCGCCCCAATCGCGACCCTCGGCTTGCGTCGCGCGCTCGTCCCCTGCTCCTTGTGCGTGCGCGTCCGTACCCGCGACGCCTACTCCTATTCGGCCTCGGCTTCCACTCGCGTCTCCATTACTCGCGCGCCCCGTGTCTCCATTGCCCGACGCCCGCGCGTCCCATCCACTTGCGCGGTTGCTGTCCACGTGCGATGCCCCTGTACCCTTCTCGCGCTCCCCTGCCCGCTCGCGCGTACTATCGACGCCCGTGTCCCGATCGCCTACCGCGCTCCCGCGTACACCTGCTGCTCCGTGTGCATCGCCGATCCTCACGTCTTTCTCACCTCCTGCGCACGATGGTGCGTCACTCGCGTCCAACATCTCGGCGCCGCTCCTCCGTTCAACGCCTCGACCCTTCGACCCCTTACGCGCATCACGGCACGATGCGCGCCATACACCCAATAGCCGGTCCTCATCGATCCCTTTGTCGCCCGACTCCATTGGTTCACCCGATGGCCATGGGTCCCGACCATCCAACCCAATACAATCTCTTGCTCGCCATATCCAACCATCCTCTACCCTTTGCTTACCTCTCCTTCGAGCCTCCTTCTTCCTTGCTCGCCTCTTTCTTGTGCAAGGCTTGCACCAACAACATAATTCCTTAGCCTTTGCCTTACGTTTCCTTCAGGCTCGCTTGGTCTTGTGCTTCTTAGGCTTAAGCTTGGATTGTGGACCACATCCTTTCGGCCAATCCCTTTTGCATGAAGGTCGATATATCGGGCTTGATGGCTCCTATAGCATATTTTCCAGCCATATGTTGAGGTCGTCGGCATCCTCATCTTCGGACTCGCCTGGGTTGATGACCACTTCGTATCATTCCCCTCCTCTGCAAGACTTTCCTTGTCCTCAAGGATTAGAAAATTCAGCGCAACATCATCTTCACGGTTTTGGACTTCACCCTCCATTGCTCCTTGTGCTTCTACGAGTTGTCGCTCGTATTCTTCTAGATTTCTTCGCTCATGAAGCTCGTCTAGATACGTGCTTTCTCATGGGATGAGTTCCCTTTCCAAACTCTCCAACAATTCGAGATCTTCCCAATCCATCTCGTCCATTGGCACATAAGACATTTTTTTTAAGACTCTAAAATTTTCGAAAAAAGAAAAGAAGATTCGAATGAATTCGAATCAAAGGGAGGAAAAAAATAACAAAAGACTAGATAACACTTTTTTTTTTTTTGAGACTCACGAAATTTTTCGAAAATTAAGGGATAAAAATCGAAAAATTTCGAACAAAAGGGACAAAAAATCGGACCAAAAAAAAAAGAATGGGATAGGAAAAGTTTAACCTAATACACAATCAATCACTCTCAATGAAAGCACCAATGATGACGGATCGTGTGTTTGGTTCCACTCGTCTTGTCTCGAACACAGCTTCGCCACGGCCTTGCTTTCGACGATAGGTGTGATCGACTCGGTTATTAGCCTAACTCTCTCACGATACTTGAGTTCACTCGGGTCTTAACCTTGCTCACTCGATTTTGAACTGCTCGGGTCTTAGCCTCACCAATTCGATTTGTATGATCGAACTCTCACGAATCCTAACACACGGTTTCGAACAAACGTTCTTTCCCATTTCATCAATTCCAAGACTTCTAAAAATAATGAGGGATGCTCCCTATTTATAGATCCTAACTGTGACTAATTCTAATCTACCTAGGAAACTTACTAAAGCAATAAAATATTAAATTCCTAAACAATCTAGATATTATTCTGCAAGAAGGAAACTAAATATACTAGAGTCCTAATTAACTTGATCTTCAAATCTCTTCCTTTACTTGCACTCCAAGTCGGCCAACTTCACGCCAACCGCCTCATGCGTGCGCGCCGCCCATCGGCGCTAGTCCTTGTCGCGCGCGGACTTGCGCGCTTCGCCCGTTTCGCACGCGCGCGCCTTCGTGCGCCCCAAGCATGCGCCGCCCTCGCCCTGTGCGTGCACCTCTGCATTCGGTACTCCTAAGCCCGCAAGGCTTAGGCCTTACGCATGTGCGCCCCAATCGCGACCCTCAGCTTGCGTCGCGCGCTCGTCACCTGCTCTTTGTGCGTGCACGTCCGTACCCGCGACGCCTACTCCTACTCGGCCTCGGCTTCCGCTCACGTCTCCATTACTCGCGCGCCCAGCGCGCCCGGTGTCTCCGCTGCCCGACGCCTGCCCGATGCCCGCACGTCCTAGCCACTTGCGCGGTTGCTGTCCACGTCCGATGCCCCCACACCCTTCTCGCGCTCACCTGCCCGCTCGCGCGTACTATCGACGCCCGTGTCCCGATCCCCTACCGCGCTCCCGCGTACACCCACTGCTCCGTGTGCATCGCCGATCCTCACGGCTTGCTCACCTCTTGCGCACGATCGTGCGTCACTTGCGTCCAACATCTCGGCGCCGCTCCTCCGTTCAACGCCTCGACCCATCGACTCCTTGCGCTCATCACGTCACGTCGATCCCTTTGTCGCCCGACTCTATTGGTTCACCCGATGGCCATGGGTCCCAACCATCCAACCCAATACAATCTCCTGCTCGCCATATCAAACCATCCTCTACCCTTTGCTTACCTCTCCTTCTAGCTTCCTTCTTCCTTGCTCGCCTCTTTCTTGTGCAAGGCTTGCACCAACAACACGATTCTTAGTCTTTACCTTACGTTTCCTTCAGGCTCGCTTGGTCTTGCACTTCTTAGGCTTAAGCTTGGATTGTGAACCACATCCTTTCGCCCAATCCCTTTTGCATGAAGGTCGATATATCGGGCTTGATGGCTCCTCTAGCATATTTTCCAGCCATATGTTGAGGTCGTCGCCATCCTCATCTTCGGACTCGCCTGGGTTTATGACCACTTCTGTATCAGCGCGTGTCTGCGCGCGCGCTGTTCTGCTGCGCTGCGCCCCAGTGCGTCAGTGTCTGCGCGCGTGCCTGTGCGCGCCCAACCTATTCGTGGCCCGCCTGTACGCGCCCACCCGCGCGTGGCCCTGCGTGCCACTGCCTGCCAGCGTGCTGCCAGCGCACCCATGTGCGCGGGCTGCACCCGTTGGGCACCCAACTCGCGTGCCTTCCATTCCTTCGAGCCACCTGGTTCCTTAGCCATCCCCACTAGGTTCTAATCCTTTGATAACTATCCCAAAACCTCCGATAGCATTTCCTTCTGAGGCGTGGTCTTGTCTGTGTGCGTCTATGCCAATGCGCGTGTTCGCGCCCTTCCTTGCGGTCGTCCCACGTGCGTGCTGTCCACCCAACATCCTCCCCTCACTCACCGCTCGTCTCCTCCATAAAGTGAACGCCTGAGGCCTTAGCCTCCATGCGTCGTTCACATTGCTCTCTCGCGCATGCCTTGCACCAGTCGACTGCGTTGCTCGAGCCTTAAAGCCTCAATCTCTTGAGCTTCTTTCTCGACCTCCTATGCCATTGTGCATGTCGGCACCCTTGTATACGACCTCGTGCACGTCTCCTAGGCCATGCAAGCCTTGTTTGCGCCCTTTGCTCAGCCTTGTTCATTAGCCTCGGCCCTCGGCCTTTCTCATCATCGAGGGTCGATACCCACTTCTGTATCATTGGGGTCTTACGCACCTTACCGCATACCTCGAGGCATAGGGCCTCAAGCCTCGCGCGTTCCGGGATGCCTTGCGCGTCTCGCGCGCCTTCACCCTGCGCGTCCGTCCCGCGTGCGTCGATCCTCGGGCGTACGCACGCACCTGCCGTCTGCGCGCTTCTGCCCGTGCCTTCATGCTGGCCATCCTTGCACGCCCCGCGTGCATTTCTCTCGACAGTGCGTACCTCATTCGTCTCCCGTGCTAGCCTCTTGCGTGCGTGGTAAGCGTGACTTGCGGCGTTCTTGAGCTGTCTAGCCACTTCTGCATCATTCCCGTCCCCTTCAAGCGATTCCTTGTCCTCAAGGATGAAATCTGGGAACTGCTTGCGCATCTCATCAAGATCTTCCCATGTGGCTTCTTCAGGCGGTAGCTCTTCCCAATCAACTAGTACCTCCCAGCGGTAGCGCCCTGCTTTCCTTACCTTGCTATACTCGATCACTCGTTTTGGGCGCACAATGATCTTCCCATCAGTCGCGGTTGCGGGTAACTCTTCACAATATTTGTGCGCTTCTCCTAGGATTCTCTTGAGCTGCGAGACATGGATAATCGAATTGATTTGCGAGATTTCCGGCAATTCCAGACGGTAAGCTACTTGACCAATGCGCTTCAAAATCTGATAGGGCCCATAGTAGCGCACTCCTAACTTAGTTGCTGCCCTCTGTGTTGTCGAATGGTCGCAGCTTCAAATAGACGCTCTCCTGGCGCAAAATTTTCTTCACACCTTTTCCCATCTGCAAAGGCTTTGGTTCGGTTAATCGAGCCTTCGAGATTCTTTTTTAGTTCCCGTAACATCAGATCGCATTCCTCCAGCTCTCGACCAACCTCATCGTTGATCGTACTTCCTTCCGAATAGTTGATCAACGTCGATGGTTTGCGCCCATATACCAACTCGAATGGTGTTATCTTAGTTGACTCGTGGTAAGTGGTGTTATACCAATACTCAGCCCATGGCAGAAAGTTTTCCCACCTTCTTGGAAATTGATAGACATAGCACCTTAAATACTGCTTGAGCGTTCGGTTAGTTACCTCGGTTTGCCCATCCGTCTGTGGGTGGTAGGTTGAGCTCATTGATAAATTGGTCCCTTGCAGGTTAAAAAATTCGGACCAAAAGCTGCTCATAAAGATTAGGTCTTGATCAGAGACAATAAAACGTGGCGCCCCATGTAGCTTCATCATGTACTCCATGAATAACCTGGCAATTGACTTCGCTGTGTAAGGATGGGTGATGGGTATGAAATTGGCATACTTCGTAAGCCGATCCACAATGATCATAACACCGTTGAACCCTTTAGAACTTGGCAACCCTTCGATAAAATCCATAGTAATATCTTTCCAAACTGCATTGGGTACCGGTAGAGGCTGTAGCAGCCCGCTCGATCGTCGCGAATCAGCCTTAGTGCGCTGACAGTCGTTGCACCTTGCGATGTAGTCCCGAACCGTGCCTTGTTGTCCTGGCCAGAAGAAGGTATTTACTATCCTCATCCATGTGCGGTAGATACCTGAGTGACCTCCAATTTTAGAATCGTGGAAGTGCTGCATGATCTTCTCGCGTAGATGTTCACTGTCGGGAACAAATACTCTGCCTCGGTGTAGAAGCAAGTCGTTGTGTAGCTCGTAGTCAGTAATAGTGGTTTCTCCGGCTTCGATCTTGTGGCGCAACTCTTGGCAATAAGTATCCCCTTCTTGCACCTTCCGGACTTCATCCCAAATTGCCCAAGTCGGTCCTGTGATAGCGTTGAGCTCTGCTACATTCGTTCGCTGGGAAAGTGCATCGGCCACAATATTCTGTCGACCCGGCTGGTAGACTATCTCAAAGTCGAATCCCATGAGTTTCGATATAAACTTTTGCTGCTCGGATGTCACAATCCTCTGCTCAAGTAGATGCTTGAGTGGTTGTTGGTCGGTCACAATCTGAAAAGGTCGCCCCAATAGATAGGGCCTCCAGCATCTCACAGCTTCGACAACTACTACCATCTCCTTTATGTACACTGATAAACCCAATCGAGTCGTGCCTAGCGCCTTGCTGAGGTAGGCTAAGGGTCGCCCTTTCTGCACTAATACGACTCCAATCCCAATATCACTAGCATCCGTGTGCACGTCAAACAAGACATCAAACCTTGGCACGGAGAGTACTGGCGTGGTAGTCATGGCACCCTTCAGTTTCTCAAATGCCTCTTCGCTAGCCTTGGTCCATGTGAACCCTCCTTTATTGGTCATCTTCGTAAATGGCTTGGCAATGGTTCCATAATCCTTCACAATCTTCCGGTAATAGCCCGTGAGCCCTAGGAATCCTCAGAGTTGCGTGAGACTCCTTGGCTTGGGCCAGTCGACCATAGCCTCTATCTTCTGTGGATCAACCGTCACGCCGTTGTGAGATATAAAGTGGCCTAGGTACTTGACCATCTCCTGCCCGAATGAACACTTGGACGGCTTGATGTGAAATGAGTTAGCCTCCAAGACTTCGAGCACCACTCTCAAATGCTCCAGATGTTCAGCCCATGTGTGACGCCCCGTTCGTTTATGAATAATTTGAATTATTGTTATTATTATTATTACTATTTTCATCATTATTTGTAGCTAATATTTTTATTGGTAATTAATTTTCTAAATGCTTGAGTGGTTTTATGTGCCTAATTGTAATTATCATATATATATTAATTTTAGTATTTTATTTTAATTATTAAAATATATTATAAATATTTTAATTATTAGTATTGTCATGTTATTTTCGTCAAACCGAACCTGAGCCCGCGCACCCGCGTCTAACCCGCGCCCAAGCCGAGCCATGTCCGCCCCCCTTTCCCCTCTCCTTCCTTATTTTGTGTTGTGGCTTGCTATGGTAAGTGACTTGGAAGGCAAGTCACAAAACCTAGCCTTATAAAAGGAGAAGTTCCTCTCCCTCTCCCTCTCTCATTTCAGCCGCCACCCCCCTCTATCTCTCCCTCTCTCCCGATCTCACTCTCTCGCCCTTTTTCTTTTTCTCTCGGCCTCCGCACGCCATCGCCCGCCATCGCCGACGTCCGTCCCTCGTCGCGAAGGCCAGTCCGACCCCGCTCACCCTGGCATTCCGTGCGTTCCAGACCTCCGTTCGAGTGCCCCCGTCAGTCCCGACGCCCAGCAGTCACGCCCGAGGCATTCCCCAGCACCGCGAAGCCGCTAACGCCCGCAAGGC